AATTTATCAGCTAGACGTTAAATCAGCCTTTCTAAATGGAGAACTAAGAGAAGAAGTTTATGTGGAGCAACCAGAAGGATTCATCAAAGAAGAAGGAAAAGTTCTTCGTCTAAAGAAAGCACTTTACGGGCTCAAACAAGCTCCACGAGCCTGGTATAGCAAGATTGATGGATACTTCACCCGTCAAGGGTTCAGGAGGAGCAAGAACGAGGCTACATTATACATCAAATCCCAAGGTAAATCTGACATTCTCATCGTCTCTCTGTATGTTGATGATTTAATTGTCACGGGAAATAATTCAAAATTAATTGAAGAATTTAAGAGAGACATGATGAACACCTTTGAGATGAGTGACTTGGGATTAATGCATTACTTCCTTGGCATGGAGATAAGTCAAGAAGAAGAAGGCATCTTCTTATCTCAAGAAAAATATATTAAGGACATGCTAAAGAAGTTCAAAATGCAAGACTGCAAAGCCGTCGTTACTCCGTTGGTTCCTAATGAGAAATTAAAGAAAGAAGATGGGTCAAAGCCAACGGATGCTACCAATTACCGGAGTTTGATTGGGAGTCTACTCTACTTAACGGCTACGAGGCCGGACATAATGTATGCTACAAGCTTGCTCTCGAGGTTCATGGAAAGTCCAACTGAGACTCATTATGGAGCGGCAAAGAGACTCCTTAGGTACCTACAAGGAACCATCAATTATGGTATTTGGTACAAAACAAGTCCTGACTCACGACTAAGTGGATATAGCGACAGTGATTGGGCTAGATCTCAAGATGACATGAAAAGCACCTCCGATTACGCATTTAAGCTGGGTTCGGGAATTTTCTCATGGGGATCAAAGAAGCAAGATTCTGTTGCACTATCTTCAGCAGAAGCCGAGTATGTTGCAGCAGCCAGAGCAGCGTGCCAAGCTATATGGCTAAAAAGAATATTAGAAGATATGGGAGAATCACAAAGCTCAGCGACAGAGATCTTTTGCGACAATAAGCCAGCTATTGCAATGGCTAAGAATCCAGTTCAGCACAATTGCACTAAGCACATCGATATCAAGTATCACATCTTGAGAGATGTCCAAGCAAAGGGACATATTGAGATAAGGTACTGCCCAATAGAAGAACAATTGGCAGATATTTTCACGAAGGCCCTGCCAAGAGACAGATTCCAGTTTCTGCGAAGAATGCTTGGAGTCACCGACAAATGCATCAAGGAGGAGTATTAAATAGTGATGCATTTATCTAGAATATTCTATGAAGTTAAAGCTATAAATGTTCTAGAGAGTTATGGCTAAAAAGGTTCTAGAGAATTCTCTACTAGAGAATTCTTAAGGAGAGTCTAGATTAAATAGAAGTAGAATACTCTAGAATCCTAGCATTTAATAAGGATCTAGAATGATCCTATAACTCCTATAAATAGGACTCATTGTACTCATTTGCTAACCAAGTGACGTGCACTTTGTCGTGAGTGCACTCAAAATAATTTCAACACTAACACTTATACGTAGTATAGGTGAAGTAGAGTTCGTATCCACAGGGAAAGGAATAACTCTTCTTTTTATGTAACTAGTAAATAAAGGGGGGGGGGGTTTGATCGAATGATTTGATTAAAATTAAACACGAAGATGAACGAGTTATGTAGTTTAATTCAAAGATAAAAGGGACTTGGTATTGCTACTTTACACTTGTTGATATATTTTAGTCGATCATTGTTATATCTATAACTTATCTCCTCTCGAATACTCAATCGAGGAGTATATCCAATTCATCGAGGATAGTTATTAACAACAACCGTTCATTAATAACCTATGTAGCACCGATACCGGTACGCGGAAACGCGGAAACGCGGAAACGGGTACGGGGATACGTCAAAACCAAAAAAAGTAGGATACGGATACGGGGCCATATTTATAAATATTAAAAGTTATGGGGGTGTATTTACAAATATTAAAAGTTATAGGGGTCTATTTATAAATATTAAAAATAGATTTCTTTTTGAATATACACACACACACACACACACACACACACACACATAATATCCTATGATGTCTACCCATTCATTGCATTGAAGCATTTTTCTTTTTCAAGATACTTAGTAATAAATTCATAATATTTCTCATATACACTGGTGTATCTCGAAATATAAATGTAATCAATAAGTCATTAATTTAAAATGTGAAATAAGTCAAACAACTACAATCTTGAAATTAAAAGTGCAAGTACCTACTTCGGAGTATGAGTTAATGACTTAATTCGGATATAGCCATATAGGCCCATTATTTGATTTTCATTTTTTTTTTTGGAATTTTATTAAGTAAATTTTGGGATTTTTTTTTTAAAAAAATGGTTGATACGGGTATCCGTCAGGATACGAGTATCGGAAACTTTCAAAAAATTACAAAAAAAAATGGGAACTTTTAAAAATTGCAGATACGGCCCGAGAACGTACGGTACGGGTATCCTAGAGTATCAGATACGGGAACGTATCCGATACGCCGATACGCTACCCTAGGGAAGTATCCGTGCTTCATAGTTAATAATAACCCTTACTATTAGTCAAGTATAGAACAACGCCATATACCGACTTGATAGTAGCATTTAATCTGTTAACTCCTTGATGAAATCAATTGAGATTGATAACCTCAACACAACGGTTTCGGTTTAACCAACAAAATTAATCCCTCTTAAGTTTATTAACCACGACCGTGCATTAATAAACCGAAGTTACTTACTTGTGAAACTATCAACGATTAACCATCGGTTCGTTGATCATTTCTAGTAGTAATTAATATATGAAACAAAACTAGTTGATCATTTAAGCAATGTTCAAAATATTAATATGAAATATGAATAGGAATTAATTAATACTCAAGGAAGAATATTAAAGAAGATGAATCCTACTATAGTTAATATCAAGATGTTGACTAATTGTCATCTTAGTAACACTCCCCAACATTAACATAGAGGAAGGAATAGCTATTACCAAGACCAATGTCAAGATGTTAACTAATTGTCATCTTAGTAACACTCCCCAACATTGATATAGAAATAGTATTTAAAGAAAGAATTAATATTCAAGGAAAAGAAGTTAAGAAAATAACTCACAACTTTAATAATCAACAAGCTTCAAGAGCAATACCAAGAAATGGAAGTTTAGCTCCTCATTTGGAGACTAAACATGCTAAAAGAAATATAGAGAAATGCTATTCTAAACTGAGCTTAAGAGTATATAGGAATTGGTTTTTTGTTGTGAAGGAAAGGGGGTGTATTTATAGGTTTTTTGGGAGTGCAGCTCGGGTACTCGATCAAGTATATACAGATACTCGATCGAGTATGTGTAGAAATACCAGATTCGAGGTATACTCGATCGAGTATATGTTCATACTCGGTCGAGTATGTGCAGAAAGTGATATTCGAGCCATACTCGACCGATTTCGGGTTTAAACTCAAAGGCATACTCGATCGGGTATGTCGGTCTACCCGATCGAGTATAGACACTAAATCGTGGCCAAAATCTTCCCGGCATGTTCCTTTGTCTTCGGATCCGATCCGATTTGAAGTTTCAACCTTATACTCGATCGAGTATAGGTAATACTCGACCGAGTATAGACCAAAATCAGGATTTTCCCTTTTGTCTTGTGATTTTGCACCTTCCTTCCACTTTTGGGGTTCACCAACTGTCCTTTGAGTGATGGTAGACCTGTTTGAGCTCAGAATGACCCTAATCTAAACAAATTACAAGAATTCAACAAACTAAACTATTACACCAAAAGTGTGTAATTTCCGAAATACTAAACAACCAAAACTAGCTAAAAACGTAAACATACACACGGAAATTACAAGTGTATCACCAAGCAAACCAAGCAACATCAATAAAATTACAAGTTTTCTAGAGACAAGAGCTCTACTCTAAAACACCTCCTCTACACTACACCTCACTAAAATCATTTAACATATTCATACACCAACAACCTCTTCTATTTTCTAACAGTATTAGGCTTTTAGTAGATATGCAATCCAACTTGAGTTTACAAATAAGATGAGATGCTTGTAAAATCTTTGACATTTTAAATTCAACCTATTTCACCAGAGTAAAGTCACTCCAGTGAAATGCTTTTCCCAAACCTATTTCCCAAATCTATTTCACCTTGGCACTATATATTATTTTGTTTGAAAAGAATAATCATTAATAAAATGTAAGTATGTTGGAATTGGGGGAGTTAAAGGCTGCTGGTTGGCATGACAGTAATCTAAAAAACGGGGGATCATTGGGGGAAATGTGCAGCAGGTTGGGTTTGGGATTCTGGGTGGACAGTAATCTGCAGCTAGGGGTGGGGAAAAATACCGAAATTTCGGTATACCGGACTTATCATATCGAAAAATACCGAATTTACCGAAGTGTTTGATATACCGACACTTTTGGTACGGTATGATACCGTACCGAATTACTTCGGTATGGTATCGGTATATATTTTGAAAATAAACGGTATACCGTTATACCGTCATACCGTAATTCCAAGCCAATAATTTCTTTAAAATTATAAAAATAACTAGAAACACAACATTAATTCAAGGATAATGACTTTATATCCATGTTTCTTGAATTATTTATACTTTTTGTTGGAGATCGATGTTATTTCAAATATATTTATGTTGTTTAAATTATTATTTTAACAGAATGTGTTGTTATCTTCACATATCATGTGTTGAAGTATCCGTACATATTTATAATATTTTTTTGTTCAAAGTTGAATAGAACACAAATAGGTTATCATTGGCATTTTATAATTAATTTCAAATATAATTTTAGTATATCACTATTAACACTGACTTTCTATATTTCATTTGATATATAATAATTTGATATTAAATCATGATAATTTACCAATACCGTAGCTTACCGTACCGAAATTTTGGTATACCGAAACAAGGTATACCGAAATTTAGGTATGGTAACGGTATGTATTTTTGCATACCGAAAGTTTACGGTATGGTAAAGGTATGGGATAAAATCTTCGGTATACCGTACCGAACCACCCCTATCTGCAGCATTTAAACTCAATATTGATGCTGCAGATAAAGAAGAGTGTTGGGGGCTGGGCTGGGTGCTTCGTGATTCAGCTGTAGTTTTATAGCCGGCAATCGGCAGTTAATTTCTATCGTGACATGCCTACCCGCGGGAGGAAAATAATTGCTACTTTCGAAAGGACTAAAATGCAAAGATGTACAATTTTTATACAACGATGACTAGAATGTCGAGTTGTCAACATGTCATAATTTGATTGGATTAAAATGGGATGTACCGGACTACCGGTACCTTGTATTTTTAATGATGCACCGTAGAATATTCCTAAAATAATCTCCTGTTAGCTAGGGTTGTGAATGAAGTTTATAAATTACTCCCTCCGTTCCCAAAAATATTTCTCACTTTCCTTTTTGGCCGTTCCCAAAAATTCTTCCCACTTTCCCTTTTGGGACAATTTGTGTGGCTCACATTCATTTTACCTTTTTCTCACACAACCACAATCACACATTTCAATTTTATTCCACTTTCTTAATAGGCGTGCCAATTCAAACCGGGAAGAATTTTTAGGAAAGGAGGGAGTAAATAGCTTAGGCCGCGTGGGAGGACAGGACATGCACAATAATCTACGCAAGTCCAGATCGAAGAAGTCAATTTAGTTGCTTATTAGGTTAGTGAATCGCGTACGTCAATTCGAGAGGAGCGACGGTCATCAGATGGGGAGGCTGGATGAGGAGGCCGCCGCCGCCGATCATTACTCTGTTCTGGGGTTACCCTCCGGCGAAGAAGGATCCAAACTGTCGCAGAAAGTGATCCGCAAAGCTTATTATGTAAAAGCAATGGTGTTGCATCCGGACAAGAGACCCGCGGATTCTCATAGCGCCGCCGCCGCACATCGGGACTTCCAGAAGCTGCTGAACTCATATGAGATTCTCAAGGAAGAGAGAAGCAGGAAGCGCTTTGATGACGAATGTAAGGCGGCGCGTGATGCGGCAAAGCGTCGGAAGGTGGATCCCAAGGCACCGAACGAAGCTGCATCCGCCGCTGAGGCCGCCGCTGAGGCGGAATTCCGTAGGAGGGCGGAAGAATTACGGTATGTGCTTGAAGTAACATGGACGAGGAAGAATAGAGACTATACTCGTGATGAATTGAGGGAATTGCTCGCTGAGTTTGGTGACTCAAAGTTCGTCTACGACATGGGCTTCAAGAAGAAAGGGAGGGTTGCTTTTGCCATGAGTTCCAGAGAGGCACTTTTATCTGCGTCTAAGCGTGGGAGAGTAACACTCACTCATCAAGTTCCCTCTCAGCTCTTCATCTCAACTCACCTTTCTTAATTATTGTATAACCTAGCTTGCTCCATAATTCATACGTAGTAAGTACGTGGTATATATAATTGCATGAACATATTTCCATCCCATCTCCCTTTACCTTTTCTTCTTTCAGATTTAGGATGTTTTCTTTTGGACTGAAATTTGTTGGTCTGGTCTGGTCTGGTAAACGTCTGGTCTCTGTGTATTTTATAACTACGGAAGTCAAATCTGGTCTGATCTGGTCTGGTCTGGTCTTGGACTGAAAACAGTCCTAAAGAAAACATCCTTACTCTATTTCCTTTTCGTTTTAATTATATTAATGTAGGTGTTTCTGTATTTGGGGACCCCTGTTTGATCATTTGGTGTGCTTACATGTTTCCTCTTACATTTTATAGGTGTACTAGTATTTCACCTGTTTATTTGGACCTCACACTTTGAAGAATTCTCCTTCAACTACAAGCATGCAGAATATATGGAAATTTGAGATAATATAATATTTTTGTTTGGAATTGTATGCAAACTAACCCTTTACCTTCTTGAGTACATACATTTCAATACAAAATATGTACATGTTGCTGACAATTTGACATCTTTCTATTATAACATCACTTTGCATTTGACGAAATTGCTCCAAAATATGACTCATTTGATGCTATTAAAAGCATAAAACCTTCCCAATTGGGAGGGAATATGACGAGGCCTATTAAATTTTAGGAACATAACAACATTATTGTTCCTATCTATGCATTTTGTCTAAGTTTGAGTCCGATTTTAGGAATTTCTCTTGCTTTTGATGGTTTCCTTACCTGATATATACAAAAACGGAAAGAAAAATTTTAGGAAGAAATTGTTAATAGCTAGTCTCTCAAAAGTTGCCCATTAATATATAATCTCTATTTATTAATGTAATAATATTTTATTCTAATTAAGGAATTACTAAATTTGAGACATTTTAAATTTTTAAAATCTAACATTTTTAATTCTTAAATATTAGCAAATTAGGTGCTAAGGGTTAAAATTGTGAATACAAAACGTGAAAATGTTACGAGACTCGAATTTTCCAAAACACAAGAGCATCCCTCCATTGTTCAAACGTATGGTAACAATTAACGAAAATTGGGAGGCAGCTCAAAATATTGAGCCCTAAAAACTGTACTTTTTGCTTGAACATTCTTAAATTAAAGCCAATTTCCAAAAATGTGACTATTTTATAAAAGGTCAAAAAAGTGACTAATAAGGTCCTACTCCCTCCGTCCTGGAAAATTGTTCCCGGTTTCCTTTTTGGGCCGTCCCAAAAAATTGTTCCACTTTCCCCTTTTGGAAATTTTTTTGTGGCTACAACTCATTTACTTTTTTCTTACTCAACCACAACCATACATTTCCACTTTATTCCCACTTTCTTAAACTCCGTTCCAAGTCAATGCGGGAACAATTTTCCGGGACAGAGGGAGTATATTTGGAAAAACTTTGTTATTGTGAAATTTTTATGTCACTGCAAGTTTTTCATGTCATTGTCATATATCACAATCAGATTTTTATGTCACTTTTGAATGTCTCTGACTCACTGTCACTAAGATCGCCGGAAATTTTCCGGCGACTTTTTTCGGTGAAACTGTAGTAATACGTCTTAGATTTCAATAGTTTCCGGCGCCCTGCAGCCGTCCCCCTCACCAGCCCAAGCCACAACCTCCGCCCTCGTTCACACTACTAGAATTTTGTTTATTTGTTGCTGCCCAATTGCTAAAGTGCAGCATATAAGCAAATCAGGACGCGCAACAAAACACGGCTACTTCCATCAAACCAGATTAGTTCATCTCTTCCGATATCACACACATGCTTAAAAGTTTTGCAACTAATTCGTTTTCTATTTTTTGTTTTGTGTGTCCATCCAACAATTTTAATCATCTATATTATCTTTCTATTGAATTTATGATTAAAATTTTCAAGGAGGGAGTTCTGTGAACCCGAGGCTAATCCACTTAGAAGCGTGGAAGGGGAATTCACTTCTCAAGATATGAAATTTGAAGCGTGACGGGATTAGGTTCTGCAGCTCTCATTAAACTTTGACTTGCGGGCTTATTGACTTGTTATAGGGATACAGACGATGATTTGATTAAAATCGCGTAAAAGATGATGTTAAGATAGCTTATGATTTTGTTGTTTTGCAGCAAACTGGAATTACAACAGGTCAGGGCCACTTATGCTGCTAAACTAATGAGAAATTTACCACTGATATGACAAAGACACGGTCTCTTTCACTACGTATGACTAGACAAGTATTTTTCCCAAACTGATGTACATACGCGTCTACATCCATTCCTTTCGTTCTTTTATTTAATTTTATTATTTGAATGTTCCAATAATGTCCTCGTAGTTCTCAACTTATCATTCATAACGTGGTTCCCTCTTAGCTTACTCCGTATATAGCTTTCATATTCGAGTAGCAAGCGTGTATAAAGATTCTTCCAATTCTTCCGCATCCATGAGTTGTAAAACAACTGTTAATATTTGGTAATTAATACTTCAATTCGTACATAATATTAGATCCTATTAATATGTATGTTACATTCCATTTTCTATTTATTTGAATACATATTTTATATTTATTTTTATTTTCAAATTCCACTATGATTCCATATAACAAGTACAGTAGCTCATCGTTTCTTTTTATTTAAATATTTAATGCAGTAACATTATGTTGCGGCCTGCGGTCCCTATAAGTGCCGCCGCCGTCCATATGCCGCGGCGTCGCGGTGATCCCCAAGTCGCGACTGTCCCCATGCCTAGCACCTACCCGCGGCCTCGACTGTCGTCTCCATGTCTGCTTGCCGCGGCTGTCCCCATGTCGTGGAGATGCCGTGTCGATGCTTATTTAGTTTTTTTCTAAAATTATGGATTGTGATATTAGGGTTTGCGAATTTAAGGTTTCAAACACGAGCAGTGAATATGGGCAGTAAATATGGACAGTGAAAATGTGAATAGATAGTGTTGAATATGGTAGTGAACATGACATTAAGTAGTGTTGTACATGAGCATTGAATGAATGCATTGATGAAATGTCTTCTGCAGTGAATTGAAGGCAATAGATCAATAACGACGACACAAGATGTAATATATTTAACTGCACGTAAATACTAATTTAAAGTCATTACATCTTAAAATAAATAAATAAAACTATAAAGAAATTCCTAACGTGGATGAGAAGTAGATTAATGTTGGCGACAAGTGCAGTGATTTTTACCAATTGTGCAATAATGTTGAGCAGTAACTGCAGTATAAAGTGCATTATTTTTAATTGGACAAAAATAGTGTAAATGCACACTTTTAAAATAAGAGTATTTTGGACACAAACATTTTAATATGAACGAATATTTGTTTTATTTTTTCTTTTCAGTCATACGAATGCCTAAAAACATAGCAAGTCATATTTAATGAAACTCAATACGTAGCATGTTTTAGTCATATCCGAGAAATTTCCATCAACAAATATCATTGTCCTCTAATTTATTATTTCCCTATTATGTGCTAACGTAGTAATAATGCATGCAATAATAATTTAACACTAAATTAAGATCAATCTCTTGATTTTTAATGCCTTCTTACGTGTTAAAGAAATAGATAACGGATCCTCAATTTAGTGTCATGTATATCTAATTCATATACGGAGTACTACTTTTTACGTAGTGATTTTTAGCCGCTGCATTAATTGTCTTATTAATAGAGATATGGTTCTCATTAGTTTCCGTTTTAAATAACTTCTGTAAGAGCAACCTCATTGTTTAAATTATTTAGAGATTAATTTGATGATGTGGCTGATTATTTTGAGATTATGATTGAGATAAAGAGATTATTTGTAAAGATTATTTATAAAAAAATCCAGCATCAAAATTTGAAACCAGATTATTTTAAATGATTTCTCCAACATATATGGAAAATTGGGATAACCGTGTATTCTTTTCCTTATTTGATGACTTTTCCTTATTTGATGGCGTTTAATTAGCTGGGAATTCTTTCCAAGTATCCAATAGCAATTAGCAAAGTCCTTGTATGCATTGCACGTAGCTTCATTTTTTTTAATTGTACGCAGCCTCATTTTAAAATGTAAGAATTACGTTTTAATTTTAACAGATTGCAATCATAATTGAATTACCATTTTGTAAATAATAATAGGCACCCACGGTCACCCTATTTTAGCATATACATATTCTTTATTTTGGATTGCAAAAATGTGTACAGTATTGCCTATCTCATTTTCATCTAGCAAAGTCACAAATGGATAAAAATAATAGTTCTTTGTAATAAAAAAAATTAAACTGGAGAAGGAATGGAGTAATGTTTGTAATCAACAAAATTAGAAAAAACAAAGCTAAGTAATACGTTGGCAAAATAAATAAAACATATGGACATGTGTTTTCGTAGGAAAGATACTCTTTTGGTGCTTTGTATACAAAAATCACAATAATTTAAGATCATGATTGAGAGGAAGTTAAGATTATTTGATATCATTTATGATTTTATATGTGGCAATGATGTGGCACAAAAAATCTGATTATTTGAGTATCAGCAATGGAGTTGCTCTAAGGTCTTTTTGTTCTAAGGGTATATTCGACATTTGAAAACACGTTACTCATTAACCTCCGATCTTTAATGATCTATTACTCATACATCTGGCCAAATTCTTTTCTAGTCGTAGATTGAGAATCCACACATCATATCTTTTTAGTAATATTCAGGTATTTCTCCCTAAACTAATTGCATCTCACAAAATGGTACTCCCTCCGTCCCATTTTACCTGTCCTACTTTCCTTTTTGGGTTGTCCCAAAATAAGTGTCTTCTTTCCTTTTTTGGAAAAAAATATGTGGCCTACACCATTTCACTTTATTATACTCAAATCTCAACCACAAATTTTACTTTTTCAACCACTTCATTAATAACCGTGTCAAGTCAAACTAAGACACATAAAATAGAACGGAGGTAGTACTATGTATGATTTATGGTGTTATTTAATTGGTACAAATGTACAAAGATTTACATTTTAAAGACTTTTTTTTTAAATTTCTTTTGAAATTCTTTATTATAGGAAGTATACATTCATACTTCATTAACGGGTGAAAGATGTGTATGATACTCTGACTGCTCCTGTCCGATGTTTGATATTCCAGATTTGAGAGGAGATTGTTGATGGTGCATCTTCAGTCACCATGATTTCCATTTAGAGTTGTAAACTACATCTCCAGAAAATCAGTAGATTACTACAATTTATTTGTATTCACAATTATTTTACCAGTATTGTATTCACGCGTGTCACAATTATTATGTTGAATTTTGTTTGTAAATTGTTGTATTTCGTTGCTATGAAAATACTATCTTGTATCTTTTATTCATGATTAAATAAAATTATGCACCAAATTATGCACTATACACCATTTTTAGTTCTCCGTTTGGACAGAACAGGCATAGCCTAAATAGGTGGCTTCTCATCCTTGTTACGGACTACGGAGTATCTTGCAATTGAGTCGGTTGTTGCACCTGTCTAGATCTGGCATGTTCCACCTATCAAAAATTAAAAATCAAAATGAAAAGGCTCAAAGAATTGGGAGGTCAGATTAGGAAGCGTATA